AGCTTTTACATAATCTAACGTTAAAACCGTTGTACGGTTTTAAAAACTCATATCTCATCAAAAATATTGCTAATCCGTGAAATTATTTGCGGTACGACACGTGTTCTCGCCTTAAGCTTAGAATATTATATAAGAATTGCATGCCACTCAGCAAAAACAAAAACAATAATATACAAAATAAATACATTCATATATACAGGGTAACATTTTGGTGGCAGTTCAATTTAGCTTAATATTAGTTATAATAATTCATAATAAACATTTGAACCTGTACGCGTTGCACAGCACTGCTTTATCTTTCCACCGTACTTAACCCAACACTTATTGTCGTGTTAAACAGCTGACATTTGTTGATGAAAAACAAAAATTTATTTTGTTTGGAAAATTAAGTTTTACCAGAGATTAACTGCGTAAATAGCGACTAGTAACTCCAAAATGGGAACCTGGGTTCTGGAAGTCGCCAAAATGGGCATGTACATGGCATTCCCGGTGGCCCTGTTTCACATCTTCAACCAGCCGGAATATTTCGAGGAGTGGGTGACCAAAAAGAAGCGCGAACTGTATCCACCTGAACACCTGAGCCATCGCGACGAGCTGCAGCGTGCCATAAGGGAGCATCACGAAAAACATGATGCCAAAATGATGCGCGCTATGGAGGAGGCAGAGCGCAAGAACTAAAAATCCCTATGGTTCGTTTTACTCACTGTTGTTATATTGTTTCGTTATATAACATAAATTCGATCATCCTGCAGCTATGGCATCTAAGTCCGCGTAAACTTAAACTGTAAACACTTTTGTATTGCATTTGTAATGCGACGTAATAAAGACTTTAATGTAAAGATCCCACAACAAACATGCATTCTGAGGACACGATGAGTGGAGCGGGCACTGGCACTGTCACCTGACTGTAAATTATCAGCACATGGATTTGGTGTTCTTTATCTAGCCCAAAACACCTCTAATGCATTACCACAAAACTAGGAACCGAACCACCGATTGCATATCGGATTTGCTCCCTAGGAAATGGGCATTTACAGACCAAATCAGATGATAGACACTTATCGGCAGGTGAGCACCACGCTGCGCTAGCACTCCGCTGCCACCTGGTCTACCTGAATGGGGGTCCATCGCCTTGGTGTTCCATGCGTGCACAGAAAATCCAATCCAAGCTATCAACATCAATGAGGGCGCAACATTCCTGATAACTTGACCGACATATGACCGTTGGCATACAAAATTTGTCACAGTTTTTGAAATGTTCCTACATGTGTTTTCGGCGTGATGCCTGATGCCTGGCGTTGATTTTTGTTAGTGGCCAGATTAGATGCACTCCAAGCGATTTACGCCCATTCAATTATTTTGTTGGGTAATTTTATTATCTACTTTCACACGATTAAATAAATAGAAAAGACACCCGGAAATTAGGCTCAACGCCGAAGATTACATACTCTTGTAAATGCATATTTACATATATTCCTACACATATCGATCTTGGGCTACACACACTACACAACCAATCGCAGCTATACTTGGAAATGAAGGAATTTAATATATTTAATACAACTAAAATACAATTTCGGAACGTAACAAACTGAAACAATGCTTCCTTTTGATGCAACGGTATAATCAGTGGCACCAGATTTCTGGAGTGTCAGTGAACAGATTGTTATAACGGCACTTGATTGCTCTCACACACATGCTATAAAAACAGATGAGTGCGTCTGTGTGTGATGTAGGTGTGATGCATATCAACAGCCATTTAATTAGCGGTTTCAGCTTTCAATTGGTTTTTGGGAACTTTTCACATCTCTACCTTTACCTCTACCTCTCCCTCTGCCACTGCCCGCCGGTGCTCTAAATCTCCATTATTGTAGTGTAGAATCAGATTTACGACTCTCTTCAACCTCGAGTGCTTCCCAATCTGCCAGCGTCGACGTCTCCAACCCCTGCGACCCCTGCGTCAGCGTACGACGCTTTGGTTATCGCATGCAGGGGGACATTTTTGAAGCCCAATAACAGTTAGCGTGTCAAATTCAGTTACATTTTTTCCATCACGGAGAACAGAACAGAAACATCATGTCCAAGGGATCGGTACTGCCACAGTATATAGCCGGGCTGTCTGCCAGCTTTGGCGCCTTGTGTATGGGCGCCTCAATTGGCTGGTCCTCGCCGGTGGAGCAAATGATCACGGATGACTCGGACTATGGCTTTGACATATCCTCCAGTCAATTCGGCTGGATATCCGCACTGCTGACACTGGGCGCCACTGTCGTCTGCATACCCATCGGCTTCATGATCGATTGGATTGGCCGCAGGCCGACTATGCTGGCCCTGATTCCGCCCTACATGGTCGGCTGGGTTCTAATGCTGTTTGCCAATAACGTCACAATGCTGTACTTTGGACGCTTCATCCTGGGCATGTGCGGCGGTGCGTTTTGCGTGACTGCGCCCATGTACTGCACGGAGATCTCAACGACAGCATTGCGCGGCACGATTGGCAGTTTCTTCCAGCTGCTGATAGTGACCGGAGTCTTCTATGGCTACGTTTTGGGCGCCTTTCTGCCGCTGACCACGATCAACATTCTGTGCTCCATTCTTCCACTGATCTTTGCCGCAGTGCACTTCTTCATGCCGGAGTCACCCGTGTATCTCGCCAAGAAGGGGCGCAACGAGGACACCGCCAAAGCGCTCCAGTGGCTGCGCGGCAAGGATGCCGACATCAGCGATGAACTGAAGGAGATTCTCGATGAGTCGCAGAGACAGAATGATCAGCCCAAGATCAATTTTATGGCTGCGCTTCGACGTCCCGTCACCAGGAAAGGCCTGGGCATATCTGTTCTGCTGCAGGTCTTCCAGCAGTGGACCGGCATCAACGCCATTCTCTTCTACTCGACATCCATATTCGAGGATGTGGGCGCTGGTCTAACCGGCAGCATGTCCACCATCCTCATTGGCGTCACCCAAACGGCCACAACTGTGGTGGCAGTGGCCATCATTGACAAGTCCGGTCGCCGCAACCTCCTGCTGATCTCTGGCGTCCTCATGGCCATAACAACGTGTCTGATGGGCGTCTACTTCCAGATGAGTGAAAGCAATCCAGATTCGGTGGTCGGCCTAGGCTGGCTGCCCATTGTCAGTATTTGCATCTTTATTGTGTTCTTCTCCATCGGATTTGGCCCCGTGCCCTGGCTGGTCATGGCTGAAGTGTTCTCGGAGGATATCAAGAGCTTGGGCGGTTCCATTGCCGGCACCAGCAACTGGCTCTCTGCGTTTATGGTGACACTACTGTTTCCCATCCTGAAGGATTCGATTGGGCCGGGTCCGACCTTTTGGATTTTCACTGTCATTGCCGTTCTGTCCTTCTTCTATGCCCTGTTCTTTGTGCCCGAGACGAAGGGCAAGACGATATTAGAGATTCAGGATATGCTCGCAGGAGGAAAGACACAAAAGGCCGACAAGAACGAAACGTAGCGAATGCAAATTAAAATTTACGGAAAAATTATTATTGCCCAGTTGTTTTATTTGATTTTTTCCGCGTTTTCATATGGTTAGTGTTGGTGGTCAACTTTTTATGTCAACCGAATCAGGGATGATGTTCCCATGCAAACGATAAGAAATCAGAATCGCATCTTAGTACTGGTCAAAACCCTATTTTATTTATTTTGGATATCTTCTGGTGGGGTCAAGCGGTCAGCCGGTGTGGAAAATTGATTGATGAATCAGATAAAATTATAGCTCTGAGAATCCCAACTAGCTAGTAATATTAAATAGAACATAAAAACCAAGGGCATTTTTTAAGATTCACTGCTTTGCACGCTTTAAAGGTAGGGCTGACAAATATTAAGAAAATATCATATCGGTGAAATATTTTTCTTGGAAAAAATATCAAAATAATATAAAATATATCAATGCAAAAATATGGATATATATGACATTATTTTGCTTGTATATATTTGCAGAAATTGAATTCCGCGCGCTGCGGAGTTAAACAGTTTCCATAGAGAAAACAGAAACCTTACATACGTTTTTAACATCTTTAATCCTTATTCCATATTCTTCGCTTTACATACATAATTATTTTGAGTAAGTATTTATGGGGTTTGTTTGAAAGCACCCACAGACCTTTTAACAGTACGAAAATCCTCCAGATCACATTTCGCACACCTCACAAAAACCACCACTGCTGCATACATTGCACTTTCCTATTTTTCTAGAAAACTCTGAGAAAAAATTATTTTGCGGAGGGGGTAATTGGTACCAAAGCACTAACCATACAGTCAACGCACTAGCACACATATGTGGTGTCCGTGTAAAGTCGAGAAAAACCCAGTTTCGTGAGCTAAACGAATAGGGACGTGTGAGACATACACTTGTATCAGTGTGATATCACAGCAATCTTGGGGCAAAATTCGATGGCTCGAGCTCTTATAGTCTCTGAGCCAGACTGCCAGACGGATAGACAGACATGGCCATATCGACTCGGCTATTGATGCTGATCAATACTACTAACAACAGATTATATATTCTTTATGGGGTCGGAAACATTTCCTTCTGTGCGTTACATACATCCACTTTTGTGCACAAATACAATATACCCTATATATATATATTTTTTTTTTTTGAGGTTTTAAGTTACCGCTCTACCCTTAGGTAGAGGGGAATTATTTGGCCACCCGCCTTTACAAGGGGGAAATCGCCACGTCGTAATATGTAACTTGTTACAGCTTTGCTCCAATACTTACCTGGCGTAGAGGATATGTTCCCCACGTGCTTGCAGTGTGCCCAGACACAATTTTTACCCTATATATTTATATAGATCCTGCGGTTAGTTACCGAACTTGAAATATCAAAATATATCGCAAAAACATATCAATATATTGATATTTTGGGGAAAACAAATCCCGATCTAAATATTTGTTATTAAAAAAAAAATATCGATATATTGATATTTTGATATATATTTGACAACCCTATTTCACATATTAAAGACGGGATTGCCGACAGCGAGCGGATAATAGTGAAGTTACTTGTAAAACAAGTGATTCCCCATAGTTCCGGGCTAGTTCCAGTCTGTCAACAGAGACAGATAACGCGGGTCACTACTGCCACTACTAACCAGAATCATTAAATTTTCTCCGTTTAGCGAGCGGTTGTGCGTGGATTCAGGATCAGGCGGGATCAGGAGCAAATAGAAGCATCATGGCAGACAACACGGCTTATGTAGAGGAAGAAATAAAGGTAATTGCATAAATTGCACACGCACACATACCACACACACATAAATATGTAGATAGTGAATTGTATATGAAATGCATTTTCATTGGTTGCAGCCGCGCAGCTATCAGCTGCGCCTCGTTGATCATATTACCAAGAACAATGGGATCATCTATTTGCCGACCGGATCTGGCAAAACATACGTGGCCATAATGGCCCTAAAGCGATTCTCAAAAGACATGGACAAGTAAGTCGTGCTTGCGCATAACAGTTGAAATAAACACTCATTCTTGTCTAAATCAACCAGATCAATCGAGGAGGGCGGAAAGCGTGCTCTTTTTATGTGCAACACCGTCGAGCTGTCCCGCCAGCAGGCCGTGGCCGTGAAGAAGTATACAAATCTCAAAGTAGGATTCTTCGTGGGAGAACAGGGTGTCGACGAATGGTCGAAATCAAAGTGGTGTCACGAAATAAGCGAATGCCAAGTGAGTTTTACGTACGCATGCATTATGATCAGGCACTTCATCTGGATGCCCTTTATTTTGATTTTAATTGCATTTTCATCTCTCTGTTGAATCGGCCTTAGGTTCTGGTGGGCACAGGCCAAGTCATATTGAATATGTTCACCCAGAAGGTTATGGAGCTGAGCTCTGTGAGCATTGTGATTATAGACGAGTGCCACCATGGCACTGGCAGCCACCCCTACCATGAGTTCATGCATTTATTCTTGCTTGCTGCTAAGGGCACGCCGTTGCCGCGCGTTGTTGGGCTGACAGGTGTCCTCATCAAAGGCAAGGAAAGTAATGTTTTTCACAAGCTCAAAGAACTGGAGACGACCTACAGAAGTAACATCGTCACTGTGTCCGACACGGAGGAGTTCAAGAACGTGATGCTGTGAGACCTTTTTAGCCCTGCCCATGGGAGCAGTTCAATCTACAGCAGCTCTGTTCGTTCTTTTGCAGGCACTCCACACAACCAAAGGAATTGTTATTGCCATATGCAGTGCAAGGTGGGACGCATCAAGTCGTCCACACCATACATAAAAAAATTGAAAGATTTAACGCACTGCTAGACATAGTGGAAATTGGCCAACAGCCGAAGCGCTATTCCAAGGGAATGAAGCACCTGCTAGATCCCAATAAGAAAAAATATGTTAAATCAAAGTTTAACGATTTTGAGTACCAACTGGCACATTACGGCGCATACGCGGCATCCATGGCCATTGTATCGGTTGCTCTGGAGTTCGAAGTGAAGCTGCACCAGTCGGAAACCATTTCCCTGAGCAACATTTACAAGTTGGCCATCAACCTGTGCAACCGCATCCGTCACATACTAGTCGATATGCTCCGCAATAATCTCGACGAGGATACGGATCCGGATACCGCTATCCACACAGAGCAGACCATCATGAACTATTCGATGCCCAATGTGCAAGTATTGTTGCATTACGTAAAACAAACGTTCTCCGGAAAGGAGGCCAAGGATATTTGCTGCTTGATCTTTGTCGAGCGTCGATATACGACCAAGTGCATATACCAAGTGCTCAAAAAGTTCATTGAGGTCACACCGGCGCTACGCAATGTCCTCGTACCGCAGTTTATGGTGGGCCGCAACTCAATTTCAGCGGATTGTGAAAGCCTGTTGCAGCGAAAGTGTCAAAAATCGGTATGTTGTGCCTCGGTCCACTGCAGAGAAGTGTTTAATTAATTGAATATATCTCTATTCCGAAGGCCATTGGCCAATTTAGGGATGGCGAAGCCAACCTAATGGTCTGCTCCAGCGTTCTGGAGGAAGGCATAGATATAAAGGCATGCAATTACGTGTTGATCCTGGATCCGCTGAAGACATTCAATATGTACGTGCAGACGAAGGGTCGGGCACGATGCAAGGAAGCCCAGTTTGTGGTTTTTTGCTCACATATGGAGAAAATTCAAGTCAACAAGCAGATTAATCAATATCGCAAGACGCATGCCGACATCGGCGAGTATTTAAAAGATCGCGTGCTCGAGCGTTCCGAGCCCTTAATGCACGATATAGCCGATCACTTCCACGATTCGATTCAACCATTCATAAACGAACACGGTGCCGTGCTGCTGCCCAGCTTGGCCCTGATGCTTCTCCATCGCTACTGCCAGAGTTTACCCACGGATGCCTTTGGTTTCGTGCAGCCCTGGATGACATTGCTCACTGAGCAGCAGCTCAAGGATCTCTTTGGCACAGGGGCCGCATTGAAAGAAGTTGTCTCCGTCGAGCTTCCGCTCAGCTCGTCCATTAGGGAAACTATTCATGTAAGCTGAAAGTGGAATTATTTAAGTCAGTCATTCATCTTTCCATTCGTATCTTTCCAGGGCGATCCAATGTCCTCCGTTAGGGCAGCCAAAATGTCGGCAGCATTTAAGACCTGCATTAAACTGTTCAATGCGGGGGAGCTCAACGACCACTTCCTACCGGTCTCGCTAAAGGAGCGGGTAGCTGGCATAGCCGACTTCCACTTTGACCACTGGAAGAAATACAACGACGATGGTGGGTCTAGGTCCCTTTAATTATCTTTAATCATTAAGCCTTCCTCTGCTTGCAGTGGTCAATACGGTGAGCAAGAAAAAAGAAACTGAGGAGAAACATTCTACCTATAAGAAGGCTTATCCGACGGAGTTCTACGATTGCCGGCCACGGGTGGGCGAAGTCTGTTATGCCTATGAGATAATTTTGGAGCCGCAGTTCGAGCGGAACGACTACACGGAGCACATGCACGACAATCTGCTGACGGGCAGGAACATGGCGCTGCTGCTAAGGAAGCAGCTGCCGCCTCTCTCCGAGATGCCGCTGTTCTGCAACCAAGGCCCGTTGCATGTGCGTGTGAATGAGCAGCCGCGCGAGCTGGTTATTTCGACTGCGGAGCAGCTGGAGCAGCTGCATCAGTTCCATGCGATGCTGTTCCGCGACCTGTTGAAGATCTGGCGCCCCTTCTTTGTGCTGGATCGTTTTAGCAAAAAAAATTCGTACTTCGTGGTGCCTTTGGCCGTGGGCTCAGTGGGTCAGAATGTGGTGGACTGGCCGCTGGTCCGTCAGTTCCAGCGTCTGCCCCTCCCGGTGCCTGTCAGCGTGAAGCAGCGCCAGGAGCAGCCAGCGCCCCGTCCAGAAGACCTTGAGGGCAAAATTGTGACCCGGTGGTATGCGAACTTCTCAAGCAAGCGAATGCTCGTGCACAAGGTGCGCAGAGACCTGACACCGCGCAGCACGATGGAGAGCAAAAACGGGAGCATGAGCTATGGCGAGTTCACCACGTCCAAGTATGGCAATCACATCGGCGGTGTGGTGCACATGGACCAGTGCCTGATCGAGGTGCGCGAGCTTACCGATCAGCTGAACTTCTATGTCCAGCAGCGGGGCAAAACGTCGGCCCAGAGCAAGGCCAGGGGCAAGATCATCCTCATACCGGAGCTCTGCTTCAACTACGATTTCCCCGGTGACCTTTGGATTAAGGCCCTGTTTCTTCCCAGCATCTTGAACCGCTTCCACTACCTGCTGCACGCTGAGGACTTGCGGAAGCGCTTCAATACCTTCATGGGTCTGCAGCGTCTGCCTCAGAATGGAGTCGACTACAGGCCAAAGCGCTTGGAAATCGACTGGTCGCTGCGCCGCAATGTGGATCCCCACGGCAATGCCGTGCCCAACGAAGATGTCGAAGAGCCGCGCTCCATTCTGGAGCCCATGGCCACCAAAGGAATTGAGATGGGCGTAAAAAACCTGCATATAAGCGACTTACAAGAGCCTTGGAAGCACTACCTTGAGCCCGTAGACCTATCCCGGAACTTCATGTCCTCCTACAGAGTGGAGGTGAACTATTACAACCTATTCGTCACCGGCAAAGTAACGTCCATCGACAAAATGGAGCTCGAAGACAAGGAGTACTGGCTGCAGACACAGTTCAAGATGCCCAAAAGGGGCATCTATGATACGAGGAGCCCGGCAAGGCTACCAGTGGCTCGACCAGCACTGCTGCCGCCAGAAAGCTCGGCGACCAGTCAGCAGTCGGTGAATGTGTTGCCGATTCTGCTGAAGAGCGTCTCCGATGAACACATCTCTCCGGCCCATCAGGGGGAGTTCCTGGCGGCCATCACCACAGCGGGCAGTGCAGATGTGTATGACATGGAGCGACTGGAGCTGTTGGGCGACTCGTTCCTCAAGATGAGCAGCAGTCTGTACCTGGCCAGCAGGTATCCCGACTGGAACGAGGGCACGCTCACGCAGGTCAAGTCGATGCTGGTGTCCAACAAGAATCTGATGTACTGCCTCAGGGATACCGATATTCCCAGTCGCATTAGCTGCAGCCTGTTCGATCCCAGAATATCGTGGCTACCGCCCAGCATTGGTATACCCGAAAATATCCTGGCATTGCGCACGGAGCAGCCGAGCCTTGCCAAACTGATTGGACCCCACAATCTATTGGATCTGCAGCTGGTCGAGGAGGAGATTCAGTCGGGTCGTTGCAGCGAGTCCACCTATCGTCGCTTCGAGCAGAGCTGCAAAGGCAATCAGCACGACCATTATGCCGGGCAAGACTTCTCCTCCGACGTGAATTACTGCTTTGAAGAGGCCACTATACCGAACAAGGTCGTGGCCGACACCCTGGAGGCCCTGCTGGGGGTCATTGTGAGGAACTATGGACTACAGCATGGCTTCCGCATGCTCGAATACTTTGGCATTTGCAAACCAGACGAGGGTAAGCCACTCACACAGCTGCTCGATCTTGAGCTGAAGAGCGCCAAGATGAGAGCAAACGTCAGCACTGCCCATATTGATGGCTTCCTGATCAACCACTCCTATCTGGAGCAGAACATAGGCTACACATTCCGGGATCGCGGCTACCTCTTGCAGGCCCTGACCCATCCGTCGTTTCCCACCAACCGCCTGAGTGGCTGCTACCAGGAGCTGGAGTTCATTGGCGATGCCATACTCGACTTTCTCATCTCTGCATACATTTTCGAAAATAATACCAAGCTGCGTCCCGGCCAGCTCACGGATCTGCGCTCGGCCTTGGTCAACAACACAACACTGGGCTGCATCTGCGTGCGCCACAAGATTAATTTCTTCATTCTGGCCGAGAACACGCTCCTCTCCGAGACCATCAGCAAGTTTGTGAATTTCCAGGAGAGCCAGGGACACCGAGTCACCAACCATGTCCGCTTTCTGATGGAGGAGCGAGATGTGCAGCCTGATATTCTGGATGTAGATGATGAAGTGGATCAGGCCATGGAAAATTTATCGGGAGACGGTCCACGCATCGGGGCTTTCAACTTGGCGCAGAACGTAGATGTGCCCAAGGCTTTGGGCGATGTCCTGGAGGCCCTCATTGCGGCCGTGTACTTGGATTGCCACGATCTGCAGACAACCTGGCAGGTGATCTACAACATGTTTGAGCCCGAGCTAAAGGAGTTCTCCCGCAATATACCTATCAGCCCGATTCGTCAGCTGGAGGAGCACAAGCGGGCCCATCCCGTTTATGGTCCGCCCATGGTTGACCAGGACGTGGTGATGATGTACTGCCAGTTCACGTGCCTGGACAAGACCCTTCGCGTCACTGGTGTCGGCACCAACAAGGAGCAAGCCAAATTAGCTGCTGCCAAGAGCGCTCTTCAGAAATTGGCTAAATATGATCCATAGCCCATTGCCTGTGATACCAGAAAGGCTTAGCCTTTACTTTGTCACTTAATTTGCTAGTAAGATTTTATTGAACAAAGAGCGCATTTCTCACCATTAACTTTAACTAACAATCTTAAATTTAAAGGCAACCATTTTGAATTTTTATACCCGGTACTCGAAGAGTAAATAGGGTATTGTATTTGTGGGGAATAACGGTTGTATGTAACGCCCAGAAGGAAACGTTTCCGACCCCATAAAGTATATATATTCTTGATCAGCAACGAGTCGATAGAGCCATGTCTGTCTGTCCGTCTTGTTTGTCGGCTAGTTCTCAGAAACTATAAGAGCTAGAGCCACCAAATTTTGCATCCAGACTGCTATATGCTCACACTGAACCAGTGTATTTAAAAAATGAGCCACGCCCCCTTCCGCCCCCCAAAAGGGCGAAAACCTCCCAAATCTACAATTTTGAAGATAACAGTGAAGATAAAAAGTGTCTCACACGTCCCTTCTTGTTTGCATTCGATTTTATTTACCGCGTTATAATGCACATTTTAAGTTAGATTTACAATCGGATGGGCTACGTCGTCAACGACGTGAATGCCATTTTTGTATTTACAATAAAATGCAGAGTGCATGCAATCTTTGATGCATTCGATCCGAGTTATGCTCCGGCCTCTGTAGATACATTATTAAGTGCCTTACAAACTACAAAATAGAGTAAGTAACGTTGAAGGAGGAGACAACTAATGGTTAAAATATATATGTTCAAAAGATCAGAGGAGCAATTCAGCTTACATTTTGGAATGATTAAAACTAACGAGACAAACACAAACTAAACGAATTGAGATAGACCAAAAATTAGTCCAGGCACTGCACTGCCCTACATACACAATAAAACTTAGGCCACATTCCGAGTACGGGGATAAAATAGAGATTAATTTGCTCTCTTATCATAATACGATGCGCCAGAAGTAAGAAGCCGGCGACTACACGATGCTACAGACAGGGTTCTCTACACGCGACAGGTGCAATCTGGCTTGTTGATACTCCGTTGTCTAGTCTGTAGATTGCGTAGAGCAGCTCCGCCGTACTGTATGCCACTGCCGATGCGCTCGGGGTCCAGCTCGCCTGTTTCTATCTTTGCCAGTATGGTCTTGGAGCACTTCAGGAAGGCCTCCTCGACATTCTCGCCAGTCTTGGCGCTCGTTTCCAAGAATATGAGCTCTACAAAAGTATTTGGGGAGTAAAAGGAAATAGGAAATGCACGCAGAGTTAAATGAACAAACCGTTTTCCTGGGCAAAGGTGCTGGCCTCTAGAAATGTTACATCGCGTGCCTCCTCCAGGTCCTTCTTGTTCCCAACCAGCAGAATAACAATATTCGGGCTGGCCAATGTCCTCGCATCATTGAGCCAATTGGTCAAGGCATTGAAGGAGTCCCGCGATGTGGCATCGTAAACCAGCAGAGCACCTGCAGCTCCGCGATAATAGGACCTGGTCACAGATCGAAACCTCTCCTGTCCGGCTGTATCCCATATTTGCAGTTTCACCGATTTTCCGCCCACATTCACAATGCGCGAGCCAAACTCCACACCAATGGTGTGCGAGCTGTCGTCTTTGACTGCCCGGCAGGGTAAGTAGTTAAATATTAATTATATTCATTAAAGGGATATTTCAAAAGCCAGCTTACATTTGCTTTCGATGAAATGATGCAACAGACAGCTCTTGCCGCTGCCAGCGCTTCCAATTATCAGGAACTTGAACAGGTAATCTAGACGAGTTTAACCAACCAGAATTAATTATAAATTGCTTCTAATTAGTTATTCGTGCAAAATCAAACCGTATGTTTCCGACATTGCTTTTGTTTTCTATCTCTGTGTGGTAGTCGACTGCAGTAGCCTTTTGTTTGTTGTTTTTCCTAGCCACAGGCCGCCTCTGTTTGAGCGTTCGTTGTATCCTTCGTTTAAAGTAAGTGTGTGGTTGTGCACCAAAAAGGGCACAGACAGACCAAAATCGATGATAGCGAAGCTTAAAAGTAATTAGCTAGGTTTAAACAATTAAAACAACTCAAAATTGGATAAAATGCACTTCTGACTCGTCGAACAGTGTTGGTAAACATTGATAAAAATAAAGTGTGAGGCAACGAACCAAATACCAATTTAATTTTAATTTAATTTATTTAAATATTTTGCTCAGCCTTGACTTCACTGTTAATGTACAGATCAGCAAGCTATTTTAATAATTTTAATTTATTATATGTGCATGACAATTATTAATATATTTAATAACTGTGTGATCCTTAAGTATCCTTTTGTTTCTTTTCGCCGTAGTTCTGGTAGCAGTTGACAGGATCCTTTGCGATGAATTCGGAGTAGGCCAGCTTGCTGCCCTTGAAGTTCTGTGAGGCGAAAATTGGATTAAAAAACATTCCGGTAGATAAGATTTGGGTACAACCTTTATATCTCCAGTTATCAATGTCCACAGGAACACGAAGACGGCAGGCAATAAGCTGCTCAGGACGAACAGCTCAAACGTGTTGAGTTCCCCAAAAATAGATACTTTCATAGTGATAAATGAGTTAGTTTTACGGCAGACTTGAACTATAATAAACAAATGTGGATGATGACAAATTGTTGCTCGCACGTACTCCAGACAGTGTTGTAAGTCTTTCCAAAACCAGGGTCGCAACAGCGCAGCTCAGGGCTGCATATCTTTGGTATCAGAAAACGGCAAGGCCAGATAACTTTGAAGAAAACGTAATTTAGCTGAATAAAATGGCTTTCCGCATCCCATTTGGCAAGAAACACGCTGAAATAGCGACATCCTTGTAAGTAAATGATGACAGCCTTATTGTCGCATCATGATTGTACCTGAATTTGGACAAACTTGCACACACGGCCACATTGCATAATCATGCAGATTCAATAACAATTGTTGTTTGCCCCATTTCTTTCAGCGCTCGCTCTGGAGCTGGATTCGGCGGTGCCGCAGGCCTGGCCCTGCTTTACTACACCGACTGGAAGCTTATCCTTCAGTACGTTCCAATCTACGGCTCCAAGTACGATAAAACCGAATAAGCATGGCCTTTGTCACTTCCACGCATAGTTCATGTCCAAGTGGACACAATGTTTTGCTTAGTGAATAAAATAAGTTTAAACGATCACCGCTTCGTGTGCATACATTTTTTGTTATTACACTTTCGTTCGTATATTACAAATATGTAACTTTCAACTGGGCACAAATAGTTTGTGGGATTGGGATTGGGACCCAGGGAGGCTGTTTCGCCAATTCTAAAATATTTTTGCTTATTCGATTTCACTCTTACTTATCCTTCAAAGTGCTTAAGTAACTCGTTGCTCAAGACACACGCACACACTAGTGGGTTGTGGCCTTTTTTGATTTAAGATCGTATAAAAAGTACATCCGCGATTTCCGTATTCGAGTATAAATGATTTCCGTATTAAAGAGATTACAAAATTGGAAGCCCAAATCGACCGGCGATTGAATGAATTTTGAGAAGTCATTTGGAATTTCACCTAATAAATGCTTGGGCTTAGATATCCGGTTCGACAAACGAAGCGGGGAACAGCCCGGTTTTGTGGGTGCGCGCATGTGTGCCCTTGTACCAGCCGTTCTTTTGTTTTCGCTGCACATATATTACGTCGCCAACATGCAGCTCCAGTTCGATGTCACTGTTGGGCGGATACGGCACGATGCATCGAAAGCGACTGCAATAATTATTGTTGAAAATGGATGAAAATCATAATCAAAATCATCTACTCCGACCGAAAACCCTCACCTTTCTCTAGTGCAATAAATCGACTTGGTTGTGGCACTGGCTTTAATGGCCGCCTCGGTGATGCCATTGCTGCTGGGGCAGAGCACATGGCCAGCATCTAGACTGTGAGACTTTCGATGGCTCGGTGCAATGATCATGTTCGCATGTAGCTGCGTCTGGCTGCCAGGCTGCTGCCCACCAGCATAGATAGGCGAGGCTATTGAGGATGCAGGCGGTGGTGGCGGCGAGGCTGCATTGCTGTACATGCTGCGGAAGGTGGCTGCGTCCAAGGATTGGCGTGCGCTGCATAAAAAAAGGATCAAGTTATTGAGCGAAAGCTCGACTAGCAGCCTGAGATTCAGCAAACTAACCAAAGCAAATGCGGCCGATCTTTATTGCTCTTCACGCGTTGCGAACCATAAGAGACACTGCCACTGCTGACGGGAGGCTGTTGCTTGTCCTGAAAATGTTTCTGACCTGCGGACGGGGGAGCTGCTGTCGTTGTTGTCGTTTCATTGAGCGGCTGACTGTGCTGCAGTTGGCTCGGACATGATCCGGATCTACAGAGAAAAAGACTGTGATAATTGGGATATGGGATTATTGGGGAGCCACCTACCTGACATGCACTGGATGCAAGTGAGGTGCCGTTGTCTTAGCAGTGCTTTCAATGCTTGTGGTGGTCGCATCTTTCGGAGTTTGCTGCAGCAAAGCGCCTGGTGATTTGGATCGTGTTTTCATGTGCGTTAGTCGTCGCATAAGTCCGACTGCTCCAGAGGAACTGCTGCTTGAAGTGGCTATGGAGATGTCCTGCTTGGGCTCGGACTTTCTACTGAACAAGGCCTCCACTGGCTTTGTCCAGACAGAGCAGCTAGTCGATGTCGCAGTCGCTGTTGTCGATACCTGCTGCTGTCGCGGCGGCAAATCCGGTGGCTGCATGGGCAGCATGTTGTTGAGACGCACATCCGGCGCCACTGGCTGCTGCTGCTGAGAATGGATCTGCTTTGCATCCGAGCTTTGGGGCACGTATTTCCACTGGTGCATCAGCTGCTGCTGGTCGCGCGTACGTAATGGCGTTAGGTAATTGCCAGGGAACACGCCAGTAATGTCCAGCCAGTTCTTTCCCTTGAACCAGCCATCCACGCACCGTTCGGTCACAATGTACACGCAGCCCTTCTTCAATTCCAATTCGTCATTTTGTAGCGGCTTGTAGGGAAACAGCGCCAGGTATCCCCAGGGCAGAGTGGGAGGCATTTGCTGCTGCACATTGGTCTTCAGTACGCGTGCAGATTGGGAGGCGGGAGTCGCTTTAGCAGCCGCTGCTGTGGCTGGAGAGGTGGCCACCTCCAGGCGACTCAGCTCATGGGGCAGGCTCAGAATCTCAGCCGAATGGCGGTTGGTCTGCAGTAGACTCAATGGTGCTCCTCCTCCTAGCAGGGCATTCAACGAGTGCCGCTTCTCCTTAGCTCCCTTATCTCGAAATCGAACCGATCCCGAACCGGATCCAGAGGCCATCACATGTTGTGGAGTATTTGGCAGCGATGACTGGTGATTGGGACTGCAGTTGTTCGAGCTGGAAGTAGAGCTGGAGTTGCTGCTGGCCGGAGTGACGTTCGAGGAACCAGAGCTGGATTCTGTGACAACTGTGGGATCAATTATGGGAACAGGAGGAAGCGCACGCTGTGGGTGCTGCTGATGCTGTGGCGGATGGCACGGTTGCTGATTCACAACTCCACTATCGAGCAGCTTCTTGGCTACAGCATTCAGCTCTACAAATGCTATGGGAAAGATGCCGATTGTCTGGCCGATTCGACCTTCAGCCCAGTTGTGATCCACGCGGCGTAGCACTTGGATGACTGTGCTCTTCTTGAACTCGAGGCAGCCCTCCTCATCATTGGGTCCCATCTTAAAGTCATACATGGCAATGCACTGGGGCATGGGCAAAGGGACGGACACTTTGACATAGTTTATGGGGAAGGTTCCTTCCTGTCCATTGGCCTGGCCCACGAACCAATTGTTGTCGATGCGTTGCTTCAGCAATATTAGGTCTCCCTTCTTAAACTTCAGATCGTTGGCTTCGCTGGAAACGAAATCAAACAGAGCATAGGCGTGCGGGAGTAGAAACCGCCGTTGCTTCTGACGAACCACCTGAGTCTGCGATTTCTGTTGCTGGTGCAGATGCGAATGCTGCGGCTGTTGCTGCTGTTGCACTTGTGTGCTGCTTGTGGGTGCCACTGTCTCCGAGTGATGTTGGGTTTTGGGTTTCTCTGGGGGCGTTTCGGTCTCTTCGCTTTTATTGTCGCTTTTAACAGCAGCCGCCGTCTGTTTCATGCCTGCAGAATGAGAGAAGTTAGAATTATGCGAATTGGTTGACTTGCTGAAAATCTGGCCAATGACGCTTTGCCACAATAAACAAATCTAGTCCGAATGTCGCGTGGGCTGCGAGCGCCAGATCATGAGCGCGTGGGCTGCGCACACTCATGGCTCATACTCCCTCATTACCTTCTAATATTCTCATCAGCAAGACATTTGGAGGGAGTTCATCGATGTTGGACGAGACCAGGACGCGGCATTCCGGACACCGCAGCTTGTGCTGGCTGGCCACAATGTCCTAAATGGAAAACTGGTCAATGGGAGAACTGGAAAACGGGAATTTCATTCTAACTCACCAACAAACATTTGCGGCAGAAAGTGTGCTGGCATGGTAGCACCTTTGATGTGGTATCCAGACGGTCCAGGCACACCGAACACTCCAACAGGTCGTTCAATGTATGCTCATCCATTTCTAAGGTATGCTTCAAAAGCAAATTCTCAAGGATGGGGTCACAATTTGAATTTCGTGCAAGGCAACATTCCAAGACGACACACACAGGCGCACACAGCCACACATGGGTATACAAACACTCAAACGCAATCCAAAGAGAGGCTTGGGAAATACGGAATATGTTTTAAACTAGTTACTACAGATTGCTCGCTAGGGTTCTATTTACATTATAACTTTTTACTTCGGACATTTAAATTATTTTAATTAATCGTGTAATTTTATTAAGCGCAGCCGAAGCTCGTGTGAACACAAATACTAAGCGGATGTGTACACGGATATGAAACCAGCTTGCTTAATTTGAACACTTGGAATATAGTTGCATTTGTTGCACATATTGGCAGTCTCAATAAATGCTTATTGCTAAGCAATATTTATTACTAATTAATAATTATTAATCGTTTGCAGTTTCCATTAATTGTAATACTTAATTTTAGTACGTTTATCTATTAATTCAATTTTATATTTTAGTATGTCTTGCAGCACTGTTCACGTTTTAGTGCTGCATATCGTCATGTAAACCAGTGCTGAACACTGCAAAGTTCCTTTGTTTTTTTAATTTTGAACAAGCACGTGTGTTTTGGTTTTGCCGTGCTGCAAAGATATCTTTAATTGTTTGAAAGGCACGCGATTTAATCAACAAATCATGCCGAAAGTACGCAGCACAACGGGCAAGCCCCGAACCCAGGGGTTCAACCATTCCAACCACTCGATGAACCCAGAACGTCCTAAGGAAGGACTCAAAGGTGTTGCGCACCCCCGTACGAAGGGGACCATTAAGCGGCTCCAGATGTATCGCAACTTCAAGGCGAAGCGGGATCGTACCGGCAAGATTATCTGTCCGGCTCCGTTCCAGGTGAGTCGTGCACATCCCTGGCCCGTCCTTGTGGACATCATACTGAATGTTGTGATTTTAGGGTCGCCTGCCTGCTGGTTCAATGGCCAGAGTGGAGCCCACACCCAAGTGGTTCAGCAACTCCCGCGTGATATCACAAACAGCTCTGCAAAAATTCCAGGATGAGATTGGCAAAGCCGTCAAGGATCCGTATCAAGTTATCATGAAGCCATCCCAGCTGCCAGTGACGCTACTCAATGAGGCCTCCAAATACAAGCGTGTCCACCTCTTGGACACAGAAAGCTTTGACAGTGTATTCGGGCCGAAGAAGCAGCGCAAACGTGTCAGCCTTAAGGTGCGTGATCTGGAGGATTTGAGCAAGGCTGCCGACGAGCAGGCGGATAAATATGACTCAACCAAGGACATAGATCTGATCCGCGAGGACACGGGCGAAAAGAAGGCCGTGCGAGATTGGGTATTTGGTGCTGGAGGAAGCAGGCGTATCTGGAACGAGCTGCACAAGGTCGTAGACGCTTCCGATGTCCTGCTGCAGGTCTTGGATGCCCGCGATCCCATGGGCACACGCTCCAAATACATCGAGGAGTTTCTGCGCAAAGAGAAGCCGCACAAGCACTTGTTCTTCATTCTGAACAAAGTGGATCTGGTGCCTGTGTGGGTCACACAGCGTTGGGTGGCCATCCTCAGTGCTGAGTATCCCACAATCGCGTTTCATGCCTCTATGCAGCATCCTTTTGGCAAAGGTAAGTACTTTATTTATAGACAAGAATGTAGTTATATTTTCTATTCTCTCTTTAGGCGCCCTCATCAATCTGTTCCGTCAGTTGGGTAAACTTCATTTGGACAAGAAACAAATCAGTGTGGGATTTATTGGCTATCCAAATGTCGGAAAGTCCTCGGTCATCAACGCCCTGCGCTCGAAGAAGGTCTGCAAGGTGGCACCCATTGCCGGAGAGACGAAAGTGTGGCAGTACATAACGCTAATGAAGCGCATTTTCCTGATCGATTGCCCCGGCGTGGTGTACCCCACGGCTGAGACGGACACGGAGAAGGTGCTCAAGGGTGTGGTGCGTGTAGAGTTAGTCACCAATCCGGAGGACTATGTGGACACTGTGCTGCAGCGTGTGCGCAAGGAGTACATTGCCAAAAACTATAAAATTGATGACTGGACCTCGCCGAAACACTTCCTCGAGCAGCTGGCCAAGAAGTCCGGCAAGTTGTTGAAGGGAGGCGAGCCAGACGTTACCGTAACATCCCGCATGGTGCTTAATGACTGGCAGAGAGGCAAGCTGCCCTTCTATGTGCCACCTGAGGGTTTTGCCACTCCAAAATCACAGGATGATAAGGTAGTAGAGGAGCCAACGGGCGATGATGCAAACTCAGATGCCAGGTCCGAGGCTCCAACCTTTGTTAGCGAGTCAGTCAAGAGGGCTCGAGAGTTTAAGCAGATTCAGGACTTCCGAAAGATTCGAGTGGGCTTGGAATACGAGCAGCAGGATGTCAAGGAGCTGGATCACATCGACTTGGAGCTCTTGGAGCAGCAGAAAACAGAACGGGCGGCCCGCAAAAAGGCTCGTCAGCTCGCCGATGAGGAGGAAGAATCGAGCGATGGAGCCAGTGATTTCTACTCTGAAGATGAGTACAATGATGATTTGCAGCGTGTTGTCCACAAGAAGGCCAAGACAAAGAAGGTCCAACAGCTGGCCATCACATCGTCTGGCAAGTTCCGCGTGGCCAAGGTCCAGCCAGGTGACTCTGATGACATCGGCGATAGTTCCGACGATGCCGCCGGTCCCAGCAGTGCGAAGGCTCCGCGCCTGACAGCCAAACAGAAGCGTGCCTTGGAACGCAACCAGAAACGCAAGAAGATCGGCAGCAACTTCTACGAGATGACCAACGTGAAGAATCGCAATCGCAACAAGAAAAGGGACACGTAATGTTTACACTCTAGGCTATATTCTGTTGCAAGAAAGAATTACATGTTAAGCACCCCAATAAAATGATTGATCTGACCCTACTCTGTGCACTGTTTCTTTTTTGGTAATTTGCGACCACACAAATCGGTGCGTGTGAACCGATCAAGTTCGTCCGAATCGGTGCTAGCCTCCGAGTCGCTGGACTCCGTGTAGGGCCCAATGCCAGGCAGCGTGGCTATCAACTTCAACCCGCTTTGAAACACTGGCTGTAATTCCTGTTCCTTCTCCTTCTGCTCTGGTGTGCTGTCGTTCTTCACCGTTTTGGCCACTTTGCTTGTTGTGGGCGATTCACCGTTTTTGCGTTTTATTCCGTGGCCAAGCAGTGACTTTTGTGTGTTTCGGCCCGCCGTGGCACCAACTGATTTGGCGGTGGTCTTCAGCTCTGCCTGTAGTTTCTATACAATCACATTTTTTAAATACGCATTCGAAAAAGATGTTGTATGTTGTATGTTTTACCTTATCAACGCTTTCTTCTTGTAGCTTCTCCACACGGTTGCGAAAGTCCTCTAGTTCACGAGCCTCATCACGCAGTTGTTGACGCTCCGCGTTTATTTTGTGCTCGTCGACAGCCTCCAGAAACTGCACCTCATCATCGTCGAGGCCGCGAATTAGGTTCTCTATATTTTGGGACACTTAGCGAGGAGCTCTTTTAAAGATTTCACGAACCTACTTAGCTTATGTGCCTCTTCGTATTCCATATCTTTTTTGTTTTTCTGTTCTTTTAGGCGGTCGTACAGTGAGCGTCCGTCATATGGTTCCTCTGGCCGTTCCAGTGGATCCTCCGGCTGGCGGACACGCTCCCACTCCTCCTGACGCTTTTGGCGAGCTTCGGCAGCCTCTGCTTCAGTTACAAAGCCTGAACTCATGATTTATTTCAACAATTTACACTTTTCAACTCGACGCTAGTGCTGTCCACAGTGTTGGTTAGCGCCGCCAAATCAGTTCTGGTTAATGTGCAAAAATGCCGCGAATTTTTACTTTGAAATTTCTATGTGTAGTGAATACAATATAATAATAATTTTACGAAGAAATGGCCTCTTTAACGAGACATCATAAGAGTGATCAAGTGGTAGATCGGCAGCATCTGTCGATGCGCTATCCAACTGGTCCCCTTATGACCATGCTTTGAGGAGGATTCGAAGTTCGAACCGCGTTTAATCGTCCGAGAGCGTCCCCTTTGGACTGTCAATCTCGTAAACTATTACTCGAATTTTCCGGCAGAGTCCCGGCTGTCACGGTTTTCCTTGGCCTTCTTTATATACACCGACTTCTGAGCCTTGCTCATTTCGCGCCATTTTTGTCCACACATTTTGGCCACGACTGTGGGTTTTATATTCTGGATGTTCCGCTTCTTCAGATTATCGCGAAACTGGTCCAGAAATACAAAATAGGGATTAATCGCCCTCGAGTGGATCATAGCGCAACTTTAAATTTAGAAACGAATGTAAGTATCTCGATATATATTTGTTACATTGATTTATTTGTATTTATTTGACGTAGATCTCAATAGGAAACATTTATAAAGGAAGGGTTGGGGGTGGGGTAAGGTTATATCTTCGTGGAATCTGCTAATTGATAATTATGTATGTATTTCTCCAAAAAAGAGCTACAGGATAGCAAAATACACGATATTTATACATACAAACATATGCAGGCATTTGTTAAAGACGGTTCCCGAAACGAATGTTTACACATTCATAAATATCTGCCCTATAGATATTGTATATATTCAGTTTATAGACATAATTGAGGTCAGCATACTTACAACAAACATCAATAGGTTATACTAGAACACACACACATGCATGGTGTAGCGTATTCCCTGCCATTCAGCGGGTCTATTTGAGTACAGTACAATATAGTACGGGTATATGAGTGATTCTCTGTATATGCATATCAATAAATACTGTTGTTAGGAACCTGTGTCGGGAGGGGCACAGCTCACACTTATAACTTATACTTATAGGATGCTGCACGAGTTCTTTTCACGGAACGGGTTCAACTTTTGACCGTTGAATCCGCTCAGCAGCGAGTCGTCCTCCTCGTGCTCCAGCATGTACTTCATCATCAGCGCACAGGCTTCAGAGACCTGCATGCGTTCTATTCCCATCTCGCGACGCAGTTGGGCATTGATGGACCGCTGCTGTTGCAAATTGGCAGCCATCAGATCTAGGACAGCCGTCTCGGCGAGACCTATGGTGGTGCAGGTGGGGCGGTGTGGGCTGGCCAGCGAATTGATTTGGAGTACCGTTGCAGCTGCAAATAATAATTCCCGTACTCTATGCAATTGCAATTTTATCAAAATTAATTAGCCCTCTTACCTCTAGCAACAGGCACAGGCACGAGTTTTAATTTCTCGGAGCGTTGAAAAATCAATACAAATTACTGTACAATCGATAGGCCAAAGCTACAGGTATGATATCGAGTTCATTCATTCGATAACAGCATATCGATAGGAGTTTTTAAATGTTATTGGCGGTAATGCTTTGAAATATTTATAGTCGTAGACGCAGAACTTCCCCATACATTCTATTTCTGGTGTTCGTTCGGCAAACAACTCTTTTTTTAGTTCAAAATTTTCAGTGACTTTTTTCTAATATTCAACATAAACTGAAGAACTGGTCAATGCGGACATCGTCTGCGACCAACCAATTTCGCTATAGCGATTAAGTAACAAAAAAAAAAGAAAAGAACTTCCCGATATATGTAGATAGCACTCTCCAATTCAATTAATTAGCATTACAGCTGTAACAATTTTATTTCAAATGTATTGGGCACTTTTTCATTACATTAATTGCAAAAATATATTTGTATGTATTATTTTGTTGGGCCACCTAGACATTTTCTACGTTAGCATGCTGAAAGCAAGAAGGAATAATGAATTGAGTGTGTCAGCCCTGGGTAATTAAACTTACTCCGGCATATAGTCCGTGGCTTGCTTCTGCGCCGGAACATTCTCTGGGTCCGTGTTGAGCTTCTTCGCCAGATCTGGGTCCGGCTTGGTGAATGCATTCGCCATTATCAAAATATTCCTGGCAATGCGCTTCTGATCGATGCGTTTCTGGGCAGTGTCCGTGCGCCTATCGGCGTTCTCCGACATGCGCTGCTCCAGCGGCAAGACTGCAGCGCCATTTAGTTCGGGATTGGTCCAGATCTCAGTGCCGGGCGTTTCCTTGCCGGTGGTCGGGGATATGGCCGAGCGGGCAGGTATCAAAGGGGAACGCACACAAACCCTGTACCCAAGAAAGAAAAATAATATATGTAATTATTTCAAAGAAGAGTCTAAAGGGTCTATTCCAACCCCTCTGATGGATGGATTCACTTCATGGGAACAGAAACAAACTTTTATTACAAAGTCTGGCTTACATGACTAGTCACACTCTAGGCTCTTGTTTTCAAAAAACATTTACAAGTATACGCATATAAAATACAGTATAAAAAAACAAAACTGAGATTATGTGATGCCTTCTGGGGGGGCCTCAGTGTGATTCGTCTGCCTCTGGGTGCTTGGCTCATTGTCCCCGTCCTCGTACCCGCTCGGGACCGATCTAGAACGAGTCAGAAATGGGAGAGAACAATGAGCCAAGCGCCTCGAGAAGGTCCCTATGCTACCCTGCTCTCCAGTTATCCCACCACCGCAACTGAAACTCACTTGTTAACATCCTCGAGCTTCTTGAGCAGCCGCTCGTTCTCCCTGCAAACGATCTCCTGGTCCCTGAGTATTGTCTCTCGCACGGTGAACAGATGGTTGTTCTCCTGCCGCAACGACTCGTTCTCCGCCATGTAGAGCTTCACCAGCTCGGCCAGCTCTGAGCCATCCAGCTCGGGCAGCCGCTCCAGATCCACCTTGGGCACTGGCACCGGCGCACCGCCTCCACTGCTCAGTCGTTCCAGCTGCATGTCGAGCAGATTGTCCGTCCCGGGGCCACTGCTGGCCGCTTGATGGTGCAGATTGAGGGCCGCCTTCAGGTGATCATTCTCCATTTGAAGCGCGTGAATATCCCGCTTGAGGCTGAGGATCAGTGCCTCACGGGGGTCCATCATGATCACGGGCTTGGTGCGTATTCGCTTGGCCCTCGACGCGTAACGCAGAGTGTTCAAGGTCTCTGCGTGATTGTAGTGTGCCGGAGAGACGCAGGCGATCATCAGGGTGACCCCGTTCCCCGCCAGACTGTCGGCCAGCAGCTTGGTCAGCTGGCTGTCCCGGTAGGGTATGTGCCCCGACCGCTTCTTGGCATCGCTCAGCGAGGAGATGCAATAGCCGAGCACCATGAGGCTCTTGTTGATGTTGTTCGCCTCCTCCAGGGTCTTGCCCTCGCTCATCGTCTTCTTGGTCAGCTCACTGCCGGCCAGATCTACGAAATTGATTTTGCCATGCTTGGAGAGGAACACTCCGCCATCCGTCTGCTGATCCGACAGAATGTGCACCGTGAGGATCGTGTGCGAGCGCGACGAATGATCGTTCATGGCATGTGAGCCCACGGCACGATTTCTCATACCTGCAACAAGACGAAAGTCAATTAATTTTCCATTTAAAATCAAGGCTAAGCAGCCGCTTACCCTCTTCCAGTACGGCCAACAGATCGTCCAGCTCCTCGCAGTCCACCGTGAAGAGATTCTCCACGAAGAAGCCGCCCGACTTCTTGGACCAGCGAACGGCGAGCGGTTTTCGTGCACTTCCCGGATTGAGCAAATCGATTACCTATAAAATGCAATTCAATTTGTTAAGGCAACAAGGGAGAACCAGGGGCTAAACAAATCATTTGAAATGCCAAGAAAAAATTGCAAAAAGAACTCCACGCACTGGGGAGGGACCAAAGGGACATGGGGCATGGGGAGCGTGCTGACATTCATTTAATAGAGGTCAGGTCAATCAGCAGGAGTATTTATTATGGCAAATGCAATTTGAATTTAAATCGAATGTTCGACTCGGCAGTGCCCCAGCCCCAAGAGATTACCCTTACCCTTTCATTGTAGATCTCCATGAACGAAGCCTTGAGCACATAATTGACATCCTTTCGGTTCTTAATCAATTGGAAGAGATACACAAAAGCACGGAAGATGAGGCCATGTCGCGGATCCTTTGGATTCGGCTTGCCCACAAACTGCAAAGGGGAACAGTCACACAAATTCTGCTGGAGACTCTCAACTCCACTCACCAGATCTGGTGGTCCTGTCAGCGTGTGCGTCTTGCCCGAGCCCGTCTGGCCGTAGCAGAATGCCGTGCAACTGAATCCCTCGATGCCCATCTCTATGATACGCTTAATGCCCGAATAGTCCAGGATATCATCCTGTGTGGCCCCCGGCTCGAAGACCACGTTGTACGTAAAGACACGAACGCTGTCCCGGTTATGCGAACGCTTCTGTCCCACATCGTTGCCCTCAATCTGTCGGAGGGATTTCATTGCTTAACAAAGGCAACGAAAAACAGTCGCAGAATACTTACTATGACCTGTCCGTTGCCGGGAAATGTTAGTGTGGAGCCGTGCCTGTCCCGCTTCTCCTTCTCGTTGAGCGGACGCACACGGACCACCACATTGATGTTGTCCTCTGGCGTGGAGCACTCCTCGCTGCCGGTGGACTTGGAGGCAACAATTTCCAGGGTATCAGCACTGCCAATTCTGCAGAAAATAAACATAAAATATTGGAATTACCCATTATCGCAGCCAATCAATCAGAGTAGCTTCGAAAAAGCTTTCCATTCCTTCTGCGCACTGCGAATCCCTGGAATTTTGTGGGATTCATGGATTTGCCTTGAACTTGACGGTGACCATTGGTCAGCTATAAATAGCCAAGGTTAAGGGTGGATGGATGGCTGGCTTTTGGGTGTTTCTTATACCAAGTCGCCATTCGTTTTTTGAGGCGGGAGGAGCGTGATTAATAACATTTTCTTCAGCGGAATTTCTCTTAATGAAAATATGCAAATTAGTAAGCGATAAATTATTGATTTGGAACCTCGTTGGAGCCACTAACACACAGAACGGACTCAAGAGAAGTTACCCAGGAGCACGAGCATGTGGGATGTGTTCAATCTTCCAGTTCGAGCCTGACATTTCACATTTTTCCCCTAAATGACTTGTTAAACATTCATGGACTAATGTCCAAACCTTCGTCGTAGACTTCGTCCATTAATCAGCCATGAGTTGGGCTTTCTCTGTGTGTGCTGGGCCGTGTGCTGTGTGCTCTGTGTAAATATTTCAAAAGGCGCCAATAGAATGTATTAACACGAACCCTCCTGGGGGTACTTGACGTCTAAGAAGAGCACAAAGCAGCTCCTGGGCCCACTAGGGTTGGGAAAGTTCAATCAACTTTCGGTTCTAAATAATTAATTGGCTAATGGGGAGCTAAAAGCGAAAGTTTTGATTTCTTGCTGAAGGGGTGACCGATAATGCCATCATTATATTGACCGTGTTAGGAGTTCTCTCTCTTTACCCTTGAATATTTTGACTTCCTTTAAAGTGGATTGACTTGTCCCCTGCTGTTATTTTTATACCCACAACAAATGTAACCCCAGCTCAGCTCAGCATGTTATCATACGTAATATTTACACTGACCTCAGACCAACAATTCGTAATTGTCCAGCAGGGATTTGATTGGATTATGAGCAGCAAGAGCTGGGTTGTCGGGTTTTTTCCCAGTGACTTTTGTTTGCGAAACAAATAAATTCTAACGATTCTGAAACTGGAACTCTCACTTTTATTTCCAATGCATTAAAGTGAGAGGTGGAGTCTACTCCCTGCTCCTGGTGACATTTATGAAGCATGCAAAGTTTAGGCAATGAAATGTGGACTTTTGATTATCTGTTTCTGGGGGCGTAATTATTACCCAACTCAGTGCTTTGCATGCCAGAAAATCCATATATCATACTGTATAGTGTCCATATGGATTTTTAAATTGCAATCCCTTCAGCCAACCAGCGACACGCACGCGAATTCACTTTCAAAGTTGCCCGGAGTGGAGATACAATTTTAGGTAAGGCCATGGGGCAGTTATTGCTTTACTGTCTGTGTGGGAATATTTGTCAAAGCATATTCAATGTGTGTCGTCAATCATGCAGCCATCAACGCATTCATCAGTCAAAATGATAAGATATGTATTGGTCTCTAGATGCGTGTCCCATTATAATTATAACGCCCATAATGCTGCCAATTGCTGGCGATTGGGGGAGCAGAAGCACTTCCATAACTCCAACTACCAAACGACATAGCCCCACAGGTGTGAATGGTAACCTTGCGGTGGAAGGCACCTAACGAGAAAAAGAGATTCATAGGAAATTGTTGTGTTCCAGCTAAATACTTGTGTATTCAAGAGTGAAGAAAATTATATACAATTTCTGTTATATTCTGTCTGTATGTTCTTTGAATTTCACTTCCCAATAATTAGCCCTAGCCCACAAATATTCCAATCATAATCTAAAATCTGGCAAGAAATGATGTGAGAACAAACGTTGAGACGTTCGTCTTACGACTATTTTCTTCAATGACACATTGCCCTCCGGCACTAATGATTCAAAGTAATGAAATTGTAGGTATTCCATGCCACAATTAAAATAAAAACAAATAGATACCATCGTATCATCATATTAAGTAGCTACTCAAACCACGATAGAAAGTTCTTCGCTGTTGAATATTTAATGTTCTGGCCGAACCAATGTCTTGTACTTGTACAAAGATCTGGGGGTCCTTAACCTTAGGCTGTTTTTCTGTTGCGTTAAAACTGAACCCACAGCGGAATCGAACTCTAAAAAACCCAACTCAAATATGACCACTTTCGCTCTCAACTCCGGTCATATCCTACATATAGACTTCAATGGGCTTTAATTGCAAAATCGATTTGTGTCGTGTCCGGTTAGTGCTCAACTCCGCTCAACCCCCACGATCTCATGGCGCTGTACTTCCTTTTCACGAAATTGTTTAAATAAAGAACTAAAATAAAATTCCCGCCACTCTGACCGTTCGTTCGTTCGACTGTCTCTCTGTTCATTTGATTGCCTGTCTGTCCTTCTTTTGGATTACTCGTATTGTGCGTGGTCATTATGGCTTTGGCTTGTGTCTGCTTGTTCCGTTCCTGCCATCGTTCGGTTGCCTTTAATGGGTCTTGCCTTCGATTAGGGGTGAGCCCGGGAAAGTCCCTGTCGTGTTATCACTAATGGTTGTAGTGGTCCCTGCCTCTGCCCTTTTCGAATGTAATGATGCAAATTAATACATTTCCCTTTGCCTGTACTCCACATACAATTTATAGATATATTTATTTAATAATTACACAAGCAGCGGCACTGCCAGCGGCGTTGCGAAAGGTTACAAAAAATGGAGGAACTCCCTCCACGTATGTTATGTTCAAAGACCAATTTAAATTCCTAAAATATATACACAGTACAGTAACCACGTGACTATAGAGGAAAAGTAAATATACAATTCCAACAGCAAGTCAAAAAGTGAACAAAATTCTTGAGGTAATCTTTAGCAGCTAAGATCGAAATGTTTAGATCTTTTAGTAGCTGAGAGATCTGAGATCTTGATTTATTTGTACCACAATTTTGTGTTAACGAGTCTCCACTGTGGGCCCAAGCGTCAGCAAGTTATCACCTATTGATGACGGTGGGAAACACCGCAATGGCGGCAATCCATTCCTTTTCCTTAGACCACACTTACTCATTCTCCCGTGAGCGTAGGAAATACGGCGTATTGCGGGAACTGCCGCCGACACCGCCACTCCCTGTTCCCTTCTGTGGACTGAGGCGACGCATGCCGTTGGTAAGACTGCGGGAACGTGGCATGCTGCTGCTGCTGCCGGAACTGCCCCGCTGGTTAGACATCGAAGTGGACGTGGATGTCGATGTGGGCGTTGGCGCCTTTCTGCCACGTGAGCCGGCAGCGGCGCCTCTTGCCCGACGATTGCCAGAAGTGCTGGCGCTATCGGCGCTACTGCCGCCGCTGCTATTCAAATGCGGCACGCTGGAGGCGCGACGTACCATGGTATACGAGCGCCACCAAGTCCGGGTGGCCTAGCGGCGACCAGCAGTGGGCAATAATTGTACTATTTGAACTGTTTGCACAACTAGCTGTACCGTGGACATTGCTCAAGGAACACGCACACACACCACAGTGGGATCTGCCACGCGAACGCAAATTTTTGAAACTCAAAGAGCCTTTAGCTTCGGGTTAACCGCTCACCGCGACAACTCAACACGAACTGCTGGCCCAAGTTCACCAGAGAAGCCTTTTTTATTCGAGCCCTCTCAGATTTATGGTAATTTCTACTCACGCACACCACACCACAGCACCACACTCACCGGACATTCTCTTCTCTGGTGGCCACAATCGCCACCTGTAATTGAAGTTTGTTGTGGCTGTTGCGCCGCCACAAGTTGGACTCTCTCGCAGCTCGGCCTCAAGAGTCCGCGTACTACTCCTGACTCCTGCTACCTAGAACAATTAAATCAGCGTGCTGTTTGGTAAACAAACCCACCCATACCCCAACCGAAGCCACGATGACGATGAGGTAGGTGGTGACCGGATATGCGGGTGGTGGTGGTTGGAATTGAAATTGGATGACCCTACCACTGACCCTGGCGTGGTTTCGTGCCCATTCATCCAGGGTCTGTAGCTACGACAGCTACAACAACATTAGCCCGCTTGTCGTGGCTTATTTGCATTTACTTTTTACTTTGCTTTTGCCATAATCGGAGCATGGAGCATGGAATTCGTTTTCAGGATATTAAACCCTGAGCACATAGGCAGGCGACTGGGTTAACGTTAACCCATTCAGGGAACAACCATAAATGTTACCTCTATGCTAAGATAGTATTGTAAGGGTTGGTTGGGTTGCTTCATATGATATTAGAGCTGAAGATTAAATTTAATAGCAGTCCAAAACGCTTATTTATTCGTTGCATTCTTGTACATTCTCTTTGCTCACTTTTCGCTTGTGCAACTGAATGGAGGCGGTTATTTGCAGATTACATTTCAAAGACGTTATAGAAGATATTCTCTCTTTAGAAGGGGTATTGTTGCCACTCAGTACATTCAATTTCTTTCAGCATAAATGATGAGTCCCATTTTGAGCATAAAATAAATCACGCAAATTCCAGTTAGTATTACTTAATTGTTTCTTTTTATACGTTTTTGTCACAGTTGCATGTGTATTGTATGTAATTCAATCTCAACATCCGACATCGATTGAATGATGAATTATTTTCCCGTCACTTGTTTCCATTGATGTTTGTTTGTTGCGTAGTCACTAACTGTAAGCGTACACATATGATAGATTTAATTAATAACTATTTATGATTCAGGGTTGATTCAGGGCTCAGGGAAGGGTTCAAGTTGTGTCTATTCTAGGCGTACATTTATTTATATGGGGATCTCTCGATATTTACACACAGTTGTGGATCTTCTCTATTGATATTTATATATATATAATATATACGTTTATTATTCTGTTATTTAAACTGTTTTTTCCCTATTTACACTTTCTCTGGGGAGGGGTGTACTTTGAGCCTTGGCTTTTCTTTGCCTTAACAATGTACATAATTAGCATTTAATTCCTTACGATTGATAGATAGATTTCATTTGTAGTAATTAGTAATTTAAGATATCCTCTTAGACCTGTTCTAAGTTGTTTTTTTTTTGTTTGTTTTGTTTATTAATTAATAAGCGTATTCCATTCTGTAGTGGGGTTTCCATCTCGTGGTTGTGGCTGGGGCTACTGTGTGTTAGAGGATCCACGGAATCCCAGCCAAGCTCCTCCTGGCAGGTGCAGATGCTGTCACTGTGCCGTCGCGCTCGGATAGAGGCCCTCGGAGTACTTGGGCCTGCACTCGGCGCAGAACCATCTGCCCTGTGGCGCCACCATTATGCCCACGCACTCAAAGTGGAACCATTCGATCAGACAGTTGTCCCCGTCGCAGGCAATCATCTCGGAGACCTCGTCGTAGGGACAGCGGCAGTAGCAGTAGACGGACTCGCCCTCGCGCGCCAGCCGTGCACCCGCCGGCGGTCGGATCGGATAGCGTATGTTGTTTGCCTTGAAGTACTGCAGCGTGGCAAAGTCCGGATTCGGAAGTAGAGCCGGCGGAATGGGCTGATTGAATGCTGTGGCTGCAGGCGGCGGCGGCGGTGGCAGCTGCACCGGTACTACCACCGGTGGTGCTGTGGGCATTGCCAAAGCGGGTGGCATCTGTATCTGTGGCGTGGGTGGCCCCAGGCTGGTCACATTCACTTCCTCGTCCTCCGAACTGCTGTCGCTGCTGTCTGACGGCGGCGTTGAAGTGGGCAGGAGACTGGGCCGGATCTTCAGCGTGGGTATCGGCGGCAATGATTTCTCCTCCTCCTGCCTGTGCGGCTTGTGGCGCTTTGCGGAGCGAGCACTCACATTCGAGCCGCCTCCGCTCGCCGCCTGCGACCGCTGCCTGTTGCGCTTCCTCGATCCAGAGCCCGTCGGAGGCGTTCTCATTCCCCCGTTGCTGTGCAGATGGCTGTGGTGATGGCTGCTGTTGTTGTTGTTGTTTCTGCTGCGCTGCTTGGGCGGCGTCGGCAAATCCTCCTTGGCCCAAGTCAGCAACGGCGGCGGCTGTGGCTTGATCAGCTGCATGCCCACCAGCAGCGGCGGGGCCAGGATGGTGCTCATGTTCTCATCGTCGCTGGTGTAGCCGTAGAACTTGTTGGGACGCCTCTGGCGCTTGGAGCGCTTCAGCTGGCCATCGGCATCGGAGCAGCTGCTGCCCTCGCTCATCCTGCTGCCCAGACCCAGGTAGCCGCCAGGCTGCAGATGTCGATGCGTTAGTGGGGTGACTGGTAGCAACGACGGCGACTCTGCTGGCAGCATCTGGCTGGCAATGGATGGTGGTTCCATGGCGGGCAGGGGTGTGCTAGCCAGCAGCTGTAGTTTTCCCGATTTACATGTGGACTTTCGTTCTCGTTTCTTCTTCTTGTTGCGCACCCGCTCCGGCTTGTCGGCGTATGCAGTCGCCTCCTCGGGCAGGGACGGCGTGGAGGGACGACTGTTTTCCACAATGTCGTAGTTGTTGCGCGGCCCCACGGGCGGATGCTCGGCGAGCAGGGCCTCGCGCTTCTGCGCCAGCATCTCGCTGGCCAGTTTCTGGGGATGGGCATCGTAGAACTCCTCGTCGGTGTCGGAGAAGGCGGTGTCGAAATCCGATTCGTTGTACAGCGGCGCCTTGGGTGAGGGCGGCGGCGGCACAGGCTGCTCCTCGGGCGCGGAGGTTACATTAATCTCCTCCTCTGGATCTGGCTGCGGCATTTGCTTGCCCGTGGCCTCGTTCTTTTTCTGCTTCAGAGACTTCTTGCGCATCCTCTTCGTGGGCGCTGCTGCGGCATTGGAGCTGTCGGAATCATCAGAGTCGTCGCTGGAGCTGCTGCTGTTGCTGGAGCTGCAGCTGCAGTTGGAACCACACGAGCAGCTCGAGGAGTCCGAGTCCGAGTTGGAGCTAGAGCTGCTGGAGCTATCGCTGTCGCTGGAGGCATTGTTTTTGCCCGACCGTTTGCCGGCGTGCGACGCTTTGGATGTCGAATGTTTCTTCACAGGCGAGGGGGCAGGTGTGCGGTACATCTTGCAATAATCGTGATCGGACCAGGCCACATGCACCTTGCTTGGTGGTGGAGGGTTCTCCAACTCTGCGGGTTGCGCCTCCTCCTTAGCCGGCAGCTCTTCCTCTGAATTGGGGTTCACGGTTTGATTTTGCAGCAGGTTTTTCCACATATCAGAGACATCATCGGGTTGCTCTTCCCTTTTGGCCACCTGCACCTCCGCATTTACATTTGCTTCCGCATCTGCTTCTGTCTCTGCCTTTGGCGTTTCCTTTGCTTGTTCCTTAGACTCCGCCGAGGGCTTCTTCTCGCCACCCTCGAGTGGTTGCTGCGGCTTCTCGCTTGGCTGCGACTTCTGATCATCTGCATCGCTCTCGGAGGAGGGCGACAGCATCACCTTGGGCATACCCAAATCTTCCACAGTTGATCGCATGGGCAGCGTCTCATGGCCGTGGCTGCCACTCCTCCGCGGCGGTGCATCCGAATCGCTGCTGTCGCTGCTGTCCGACTCCGACAGATTTGGCGCTATCAGATTGAGATCCTCGAGGTATTCCTTGTTCCGCTTGGACTTCTTGCGTCGCTTGCGTGTCTCCGATTTGGCAGCCGGTTGCTCCGCTCCGGTCTCCTTTTTCTCGTCAGGCTCCACTTTTGTGCATTCCGTTTTAGTTTCTTTCTCCTCAAATGGCGCTGTTTTCGTTTCAGCCTCTTGCTGCGACGTTTCCTCTCTCACACCCTCCTCCGTTTCCTTTTTGATCGCTTGTTCCAGTGGCTGCGAATCCTCTTTCTGTTCTTGCTCCGGCATGGTCGTCTCTGTGTTGAGATCCTCCTTCGCCTCATGGGTGCTGGCATGTTTCAGCAGCAGCTTGCGTGAGACAAACTTCTCTTCGCACAGCTCCTCGGCGCAGGCGTAGCGAAAGTCGCCGGAATGCATTCGCTTGTGCACCTCCAGGTAGATGGCCTTGCTGAAGCTAAAGCCGCAATCCTCGCAGGGAAACGTCACGGGCGGCACACAAAAGTGGTAGACGTGGGGCCAGCGCTTCTGCAGGCAGCGCTTGCAGCTGGCGCTCTCGGTGCCGTGCTTCCAGAACAGATGCTTCGAAATGTCCTGCTTGTTGCGGTAGGCGATGCCACAGCGGTAGCACAGATGCAGCAGCTTGTGCTTCCACACGTGGGCCGAGAGCCTCGCTTGCGTAAAGCAGTCCTCCAGGCAGATGTCGCAGGCATTATGCTGCTTCCGCAGGTGCACCATCAGACGGAAGGCGGAGGGCAGCTGCGGCGCCGCAGCGCACAGGCAGCAGCGAAACTTCAAGTCGTAAACGCTGCGCGCCTCCTCGCCCGGACAGATGTGGCACAGAATCTCGCTGTAGCTGTAGAAATTCGTGCGGCACATGATGCACATGATGTTCGCCTTGGCGTGCATCCTGCGGTTGTGCGTGTACAGCTCCTTGTGCGTGGCGGCCACGTAGCGGCAGGAGAAGCACTCGAAGATCCGCTCGTTGAAGTCCTC